GAGGGGACTCTGGGGATGATGGGGTCAGCATCATCCAGGATTCAACGTGCATGAGGTCCACCCAGTTTCATTCTTCCACACATCCCCTATGGCCACACGTGCATCCCAGGCCTTCTATCCAGCTCACAAGAGCAAGGCCAACCATTCCTGGGCACTTATAATTGCTAGCTATACCCTAAGCCCTCTATGGAGTATCAGACCAGAGGGGCAAGTGTGTGCTACCATTATTGCCATCACAAGAGTAGAGAAACTGAGGCACAGAGTCATTTTACTTACTTGCGTGTTCCTTCGTTTGTGTTTTGAGGCAGGCTCACATAGAGTAGGCTGACCTTGTATTTGCTTTGTGGCCAAGGACAACCTTGAACTTTTGATCCTCCTTCCTCTACCTTCCAAATGTTGGGCTTCCAGGACTGGATTTAAGGCTTTGTATATGATAGACACACACTTTACGATTTGAGCTATACCCCAACTGGTTCTTTTGTGACACAAATGGGAGAAGGAGCTAAGACCTAAACCAAACAAATTCCAAGTTCAAAATCATTAACACTCCAGTATCCCAACTCCCTACTTTGTCTGAGAGCACAAAACCCATGATTGGTGCCCCCCAAACCCAGGACGACAGCAGCAGGAGAAGACAGACTTGGGCCTTTGACCCATGGGTCTAGAAGAGCTCTTAGAGCCTGACACCAGACAAGGACACCAGAGTTCCATCCTGGGGCTGGAAGTATGACATCTGATGGAAGCTCCTGGTCCTTGGGAGTTGAACATTTTCCACAGTGGCCTCTGAAATACCAAATGGCCATATAGGGGTACCAGACCTACAGAACATAGATAGGGACACCAAGTCTCCCCATGGGAAGAGCCCTGCCCAAGGATACCAAGGGACTGAGAACTATCCTGCCAGGCTGGCTGTACTCTACAATACTACAATGCTAGCCTATAGAGCCAAGCAGTTCTTGCCAGCTGGCCCAAGGTCACCTACAGTAAGGGAAACAATGGGCAGCAGGTCCAGTCATGGCCAGCATCTGAACAAAGGCTTGGCACCTCCCCGAGCTAAGGCCCCTCCTTCATGGTTTGCCAAGGCAGGCGAGTAGCAGAAACCTTCATCCGAGGCTGGGAAGTTTTAGACTGTTCCTGGGAGAACTGTGGCTGTCAGCACAGGAAACAGAGGGGGTAGCAAGCTCTTCTTGGCAAGAATTAGGGGGTGACAGCAGGACTTGAATCCAGGACACGGCCCCATACACCTAGTTCCTCATTCTCTCCTACCTTGTCCTTTAACCCCCGTTCTAAAGTTGGCCTATTGTCCCCATTGTTGACATCTGTCTTCTGAACACAGTTTGGAGCCACCACTGCCCTAAAGCCTGCTGTGGCTCCCCAGTACTCACACTCAAACCCCACAATCTATTCAAAGTCCTTTTTGTTTCCATTCTGACATCTTTAACCTTTCCATCACCCCTAGATTCCCCAGGCCCCTCCCATCTGGTATCTACGACCCAAGAGTGTCCTCTGTGCCCCTGTCCCACCCACACCCCAGAGCATCCTCTGTGCTCTTGTCTGCTCAAACCCCTGAGCGTCCTCTGTGCCCCTGTCCCACCCACACCCCAGAGCATCCTCTGTGCTCTTGTATGCCCAAACCCCTGAGCGTCCTCTGTGCCCCTGTCCCATCCACACCCCCAGAGCATCCTCTGTGTCCTGCTCCCCTACACCCTGAGCATCCTCTGTGCCCTGCTCCCCCACACTTTGAGCATTCTTTGCATCTCATCACCACCTTTTCCCTACGAACTAGCTTTTACTCCTTCTCCCCTCAGGAAGCCTCTCTCTGCTCCATCCAGAGTCATCCAAGAAGGAATTGGGCTCAGGAATGTGTAGGGCAGGGGGCAGGAGATGAACAGTGAGCTACCCTTCCTAGGACAAAGTTCCCATGCACAGCAGTGCCTGTTTACACACTGTCCCCATGTAATTATTAATCATGCCCAGGTTCTTCCTGTTCTGGGGCAGGAAGGGGTGGAGCAGAGCAGGGCAGGGCAGAGCTTAAGGATGGTATTGAACCCAAGTGTCTCAAGTGCCCTGAAAGTGAGCAGGTCACTGGGAGGTGGCTACACATTGTGCTTATCACCAAGTACTCCAAGGCTTCCTAGAGAGAGTGGCATTTGTCAGACTTCACAGACTCCAAAGGACCAAAAAAAAAAAAAAGTACCAGATAAACACCCAGGATCACTCTTATCAAAGGGGCCACAGGAAAGGCGCCAGGTTTAATCTCAGAACCACACCCTGAACCAACGGTTTAGGTGCCCAGCCCAATGTTCAATGACAGGCTGTTGGTGGAGACAGGATGGGGGGAGTGACAGCGCAGGGTTTCTCAAAGCCGGCAGCTGTAACCTTCAGCTGGATCAGTACCTGGGGAAAGAAGGGTGGGCCCTGAGTCCAGGGAGAGGGGAAGTAGCATGATGTATTAGATGCAGGACGGCACATGGTTTGTGTGTACAGGTGCATCTGTAGTCAAGGAGAACCTGTTTACCAGGAGCCCTGCAGGGTCTGCAGAGGTGGCAAAAAAGTCAAGAGCATCATGAGAATCCCTTGAGGGCTTCCCAAGGGAGGACTGTGGAGCCGACCCACATGACAGCGGGACTTGGGAACTGGAGGGCAGGAACCAGTCATACCAAGGAACACAAAGGAAGGTTTCAAGTACTGACAAACTCATGGGGAATCTGCTGCTGTGACTTCAGGTGGATAAGCAAACTGGACCCCCACCCTTCCCACACCCCCACCCCCGGCCCAAGAACCGCCTGGTGGTCTGGACTCCAAGAGCCTGCCACAAAAAAAAAAAGTCTCTCAGTTTCCCCATCTGCAGAGGCAAAGAAGGTCTTTAGGGACTCTCTTGGAGAAAGGTGCAGAATGGGTACTTGTGAGGCTGGGGGCAGGAGAGAGAGCATGATCAGAGAGGTTACCTGCAAGCTATGGCCGCCACTGAGCCCTCTCTGTGACCACTGGGGCTACCTGAAGCTCAGATCGCTGCCCAACACAAAAGCCCTGGCCGTATTACTCCTGGCTACGCCATTTACCCACCAACCCCCATCCTGCAGTGTGCATGAAGCAATCTCCATTATCACACATGCTTGGCATTTTTGCCTGATAATCACACCTCCCACAGCCCTGTAAGGATTAGGACATGATTAGGGGGGGAGGAAAAACTCTTTCGGGTGGAGCCAAATACCTGCCAAAAGATTTGGCAGCCCAATTTGATTGCCTCCTATAACTCTGAGGATCGTCTGAGCGTTTGGTGGATGTGTTAGGGTCCTGCACAGGGCTCACAGGACATTACCATCTTACCCACGCATGCACTCGCTCCTGTGCTGCCTTCCCACCAGCAGCCCCCTGTCACATGCAGGGAAAGAGACCTAGCACAGAACGCTAAGCCAATCTCCTTTACCAGGAAAGTGCCCCGCCCTGGTCCCAGGTAGGGTCTTCATCTGTTCTCTGCTCCTGACTGTTGTAGAATATTAGCTGAAGATGTGTTAAAACATTTGTTTTTGCTGTGAACATCTTTTTAATGATGCAAAGATGTGTTGCATTCTTTCATGTTTCAATTGTTTAACTCTGTGAAGCTATGTTACTTTGCCTGTCTAAAACACCTGATTGGTCTAATAAAAAGCTGAATGGCCAATAGCAAGGCAGAAGAAAGTATTGGTGGGGCTGGCAGTCAGAGAGAATAAAAAGGGGAAATCTTGGAAGAGAAGATCAAAGGGTGAAAAAATAAGGGGCCAGCCACCTTGGAATAAGAAGGAAAGAAAAGATATACAGAAATGGAGAAAGGTAAAAGCCCAGAGGCTTAAGGTAGACAGGATAATTAAAGTTAAGAAAAGCCAGCTAGAAATAAGCCAAGGTAAGGACAGGCATTCAAAAATAGGAATAAGACTCTTGTGTATGTATTTATTTAGGAGCTTGGTTGTGGGCCCCTCAAAGAGCAAAGAGTAAAAATACAAACAACACTCTCTGTTCACACACAATGAGGCAGACAGACATTGTGACGGTCTGTCTGCTCACACTGTACCCTCCATCTGGAATGATCATTCATTTAATTTTTCACAGGTGCTGTAAGGCCCAGGGTAGAAGCTTTTTTGTCCACTGGAGAACCTGGCAAGAAGTATCAATCGAGCCCTTACAACGTGCTGGAACCTTAAGTGCTTTGGTGTGTGAACTTGCTTCATCTTAGCTAGAATCCTTGTGGCTGCTGTCTCACATACAGGACACCAAAGTTCAGCAAGCTGATGTCAAGTGCTCAGGGCTACATATGGGTCAGGTGGATGCCGGGGCAGCATCTTCCTCCCAGAGCTACAAGGTGAGTTCCTTTGTAGCCCTCCGTACTTCATGAAAACCACAAGCTCTATGGCAGAGCATTTCGGACTGGAACTGGTCCATCCATTTAGAATGCAGATGTCGGTGGAGCGGGGCTGGGATGGAGCCTGGATGAGAAACTCCCAGCAGTGCTGCTGCTCTGAAGACCACTGAGTAGTAAAGCTGGCACTCAGAACAGGGAAAAGTCCCCCATTGTCGCTGCTGCTTAGCAGAGCTGAGGGCACATGGCAACTAGGTCTCCTCACTCTTAGCAGACTGGAGGCTCTGATGCTCATTGGCCACTGATGGTCCCATCCCTGTGACACAGACACACTGGGGACGATCAGGCCAAGTCTGAATGCCCCCTTACCTTAGGACATCTCTAAGCCCCAGCCTAGTACTGACCCCTAGGAACTCCTGCTGTCCTGGACCCTGCTCTGTGTGGCACTCTATGGGAATAGACCCTGTGTCTTACCAAGACAGCCATCCTTACCCTTCCGGCCATGACTGAAGGTGGGCAGTTTGGGTGTTGCAGTTAGCAAGGGTGTCTTTGTATAGAGGCATCAGGCCTTAGGACAATTCCTTGAAAGCCTGCTGTGAACTGCAGAGTTATGTCTCCAACTAGAACAACAGAGATAGAATTATGGACCCTTAACACACACGTGTGTGAGTATTAAAATTTTAATACAGGTTGGAAGAAGGCTATGAGCCACAGAAGCCTACCCACTTGATCCCTAGAAAACAATGTGCCCAAATGGACAATGCCCACTTGTGATGGAAGGAATGACCGCTGAGTCACCCAGGGAAGAGTTATGGAAAAGCTGAGGCACTGAGCATATGGCCAGAGCTGATCCAGTATAAACATGCAAAGACATATGGGGCTTCATCTGGCTCCCAAGCGGAGTTCAGAGAAAAGACTCGGGTGTTACACAAAGGGGATGGGGAGACGTTGTCCCCCACAGGAGAGCTGTCCCACCCTAATCAGTGGGCAGGGACACACACACACACACACACACACACACGCACGCACGCACGCACGCACGCACGCACGCACGCACGCACGCACGTGCGCCCAGCATAAGACATCCTGAGAAACGAAGGGTCCAGACTTATCTGTGTGTCCACTGGAGACAAACAGTAGCCTCTAGGATCCCTCTTTTCTGGAGGAGCCTTCAAACTACACCCCTAGAAAACAAGCCCATGTAGACAACACTCACTTGTGATGAGGCAGAGCCTCATGCGTTTTGTTCCTACAGCGCTGAGAGGGTAACTGAGAATGTTTTCTGGCTTCAAAGCCTGGGAGTGGTGGTACCTGGCTCTGCCCACCTTCCCCTCCAGGGCATCACTGGAGTATCTGCATCTGGGCTCCTAGAAAAGCAAGCTCTGTACTTTGTTGGGTTAACCTTCTGCAGCAATGCTGGGAATTGTTTGTTTTCTCTTGCGCTGCCAAAGAGCCCCTGGCAAGGAGACTAAGTGGGTTTCATTGAAAAGATACTTTTCCTCCCCAGGCCGATAAACAAGGCCACTGCAGGGAAACCAACTTCCTCAGCCAGGCACTCTGCAGCCGCCCATCCCTGGCCAAGGAAAACAAATGCATAAACATTTCAAGGAGATATAGGAAGCATTTCTACTGGGAACCTGCTGTGAATGGTCACTAAAGTTTACACAGCAAGCCCCAAGGGAGCCCTGGTGGAGGACACAGCCACCCCCGCCCTCCCATTCTCCTATGGCATGGTTGGCTCCTCCCTGTTCCTCCAAAGATCTGCAGTTAGGACACAGCATGTGCCTGAGCCACTGGAACATAACACAGCCTTTGTAGGTGTCCCACCGAACCCCCAACTTTGTAAAGGAGGGTGTCTTTTTACAGTAGAGGACACAGCCCTAGAGATGCTAGGCTCCTAAGCCCCATGGTGACAGATGGTTGTCGTGAAGCAGCTACAACTCCTGTATGTGTCTCCTGATTCCTGTGCGCAAGGGCACTCACATGCAGGGCACCTTGTGTAAGGCACTTGGTGGCCCCTGAGCTAGGGGTGGAAGCTCCTGCAGACTCTCTCATTATTTTGGCCCTAGTTTCTTACCTGGATAGGCATATGGCAGGGATTTTGAGGGCTGGAGCTTTCCCTCTAGGTCCCTCCTGTGAACGGCTACAAGTGGCCCTAGCTCTGGCTTTGCTCCAGACCCTCCCTCCCGTAGCTCTTCCCTAGGCTCCTAGCTGCTGTCTCTCACTCCTTGATGAAAGCCATAGGATACACACCAACATAGCAAGTGAAGTTCAGAGCATACCGTTTTCCCATCCAACCGTCTCCTCATTCTGCACTGTGAGTACTTCCGGAGCCCTGCCCACTTAATACTGGCAGTCAGTTCTCCCCATGGCCACAAGGAAGTCTACACTTCATCCCTCTGCTTGTCCCCAACTTCTTTGCTCACATTCATGGCCAAGCTCCCTGGGAAGCTTTCTATCCGTGCCCATTCCAGCCTTCAATGAGGCATACCCCATCCTTATATGGCCTCACAAGAGAAGCAGATAGCCTTGGCTTGGGCTTTCTAGGAACTGGGCTTCTCTTGGACAATAGACTATGTAGCATGTATCTTACACTATGCTGCTCCTACAGAAAACACAGAGACCAGGGGATCTAGACAAGGACATCCCCAAGTCTAAGGCTTGTCCTCAGATCTTGGCTAAGCGACACTTTGCCCCCTGGGAGGGGCTCCTCCTCCCTGTCCCACCTTAGTCATGGTTGGAGCAGACCTGTGCTCCCCTCGCACCAATGAACCACAAAGTCTTGGTCCTGGTCACAGGCTTGACTTTTGCTTTATGGAAGCTGTAGCAACAAGTGTCCAATACCCCCAAGGCCAACCACACCAGAGGCCTTGGAGAGAGGCAGAGTCTTTGATGGCTTTCCTGTCTTTGGCAGTCACAGATGTATTGGGAGGAAACCTCACTGGTGCACCAGGCCCCACCACGGTCCTTCATGGAAGAAACTGGAGGTTCCACATGCCTCTGTGGCCATGCAAACTCAGGCAGGAGGACTCCTCTAAGAGATCAGACCCTAAGACGTGGGGTCCAGGGGTTATCCCAATGATGAGTGCTGAAGCCATGGAGCTTGATGTATCCAAGGGTCACAGGATGGGGTCTGAGCCATTCCAGTTCACCGATGCCCCCTTCCATCTATGAAGAGAGTGACAGGACAGTGTTAGAGCTGCAGGGGCTCGGGAAGGAGGCTTTGAGGCTCCAACCTGCCCAGTAGTTTTTCACACTCTCACCCAACCCAAACACCCATATGGCATGTAGAACAGACACCCAGAATGCGGTAACAACAGGGAAGACAGAGGAGACAGGCAATTTGTCCATTTGTGCTACAGCTGACTGTTCCTGGTGCCGGCACTACAGCTTTCTAAGGATTTATCTCATCCAAGTAAGTCCAGACCCAGTTCTTGTCCAGCAGTGCCTAACAACGGCCCTTAATGGGCACCTGTTAGGGTTGGGGAAACAGATATTCTGGGGGTCCGAGGTCCAGGAGAGGAGCCAGAAAGGCAGGGAGAAAGGTGCAGAGGAGGTTGGAGAGCTGAAAACAAACAGGGCATTTCTCCTTGTGTCACAGGAGCAACTGAGGGCTGTGAGTTCCTCAGAAACAACATTGGCTTTGAAACCTGATTTACAAAGTTTAAGACATACAAGTAGGTAAATGGTGGTATCTCACATCCAACGGGACAGTTGTTGTAGGTGAGATGAGGGCATTTCCTAACACCTGATGCTAATGCATAGAATTGATTTTTCAAACAATTGATGGGAATCATTTTGCAGCAAATGGAGAACCTATGCAAATCTACCACTGGGGTAGTCTGCCTACATATGGGTCCTAAGACAATATTAGAATATGGGTGTTGCCAGGCAGCACTATAGGGCAGAGCAGGAGACCAGGGCTTAACAATATTTCAGTGTACGAAGATTATTAGAGAGGTGCCCAACATCATGTTTTCAAATCCAGAGGTCAAGTCAAAATCCTAACTGCCACAGACAACGGAAAAAGAGAAGCTGTACTTGTTTTAATTTAGTGACTCTCTGTGAAAGCCTAAATTGGGAGCTTCAGCAAGAGAAAAAACAGGTTCACTCCCAGTCACACTGCAGTACTGCCCAGCCGAATGATCGGGAGCCGGAGGCCCTATCCACAGACATATGACTGGAGTCTGAAATGCCCCCCACAGGCTTATGGTTTGAATTCTTGGTGGTGCCATTTTGGGAGGCTGTAGAACCTTCCAGAAGTGAGGTCTCTGGTAGTAAGTCTCTGGGGATGATACCCAGCCCCTGGCTCCTGTCAGACCCAGTTTTCTGGTCCTACCATGATGTGAAAATCCTCCGTAATGTGATCCTTCCATTAAAACCAACTGCTTTGTCATACATGCCCTCCCCACCCAGAAGGGCTGAACCCCCAAACCATGAACCTCTATGTTGTTTCTGTTAGATACTGTGGTTACAACATTATGATCACAACTAAAACACAATGGTTTCCCACCCACAGATTCAACCATCTGTAGATCTAGAAATAGTAGCAACAAAAATGCACCCTCCCACAAGCCAAGAAACTAACCTGTACTAAACACACACAGCCTGACTTTTCTTGTCATTATTCTGCAAACCATATAGTATAACGTGTTTACATATTAGATATTATAAGTACCCAGAGACTAAACTACACAGAAAGATGTGTGGGCCATTTGCAAACACTATGCTATTTTATAGAAGAGATTTAAGCAGTCTCAGATTTTATATCATCAGGTGGTCCTGAAACCTCCCCATTTTTATGGGGTGACATCCTGGACCCAATGTTCCTTGCTCTTAGTAGCCCATCCTTTAACTCAACTCCCACTTCCTTCCTCAGAGGCTTCTCTTTGTCCTCTCCAGCTCTCTGCACTGCTGCCTCAGTATCTCTAGTTTTTAGGCTGAAAATTACACTGCTCCAGAGGTAGCAGGAGTCATACTCACTCTGTCTTCTAAGTCCCTTTCCTACAGGTTAAAGCAGCCTCTTGGCAGATGTATACACTGTATTTCCCCTGTTTCATCTTTTCTGTTTTACACCATCCCATTTCCCATCAAAGAAACAGATTTCTTGTCATTTGGAAAATAACAACAACAACAAATCTTACTTAGTTACAACTGTGCCTCTTTCTCCCATAGAACCCTCCAGTGTGGAAGACAGAAGCCGCACACAGGCACAGACAACAACTAACATACCTTCTAGCCCCACCAGGGCACACCAGGGACAAGATATACTTCCCAAACCACTGACGATGTGAGAATGTCATGTGCAAGACAGAACACTGCCCTAATGTACTCTAGTGAATGTTCCAGAAAAACAAACAAACAAACAAAAAACCCAAACCAGTCTACTTTAAAGGCAATAGGTAGGTAGGGAAAGCCAGCTTAGGCATAAATACTATTTTGATGAACTGCTCCTAAAATTCTGTGTTCTCTCTGGTGTCATTTGGTGGCACCCAGCAACACTGAAAGAGCTCACCCCAATAGGGCCATGCAGCTTTCCAGGAGTCGATCCTTCACTGCCTGTAGGAGAGGCATTTGGTTCTGTTTTGGTCACAGTACTCAGAAACAACTGCAAAAGGAGGTCTTTACAGAACCAGTGCTGGGAGAATCACCCTTGTAGGATTCAGACTAACCTGTGCTGGAAACAAATGCCAATGCACTCTCACATTCCTCATTGCCTGCATCTTTCCTCATCATCAATGGGAGAATCCCAAGGGTCGGTCTCTTAGTCTAGGAAATGGGGGAGAACTGGGTAGCTCAGTGATCTCTGTTGCTCTAGACCAATTCCTAAGCATCTTATATGTCAGGTAGAGCCAGGAGACTCTTATGAGGTTTGGTCACTTAGATAGAACACACCCACTTTGAAGGAGGGCACCCACACTGTAGTATTCCACTGTCTGAGTGGTAGACTTGGCCACAGCGCTGGTGGACAACTTGACAGAACCTAGATAAACTGACAGTTATATGAGGAATCTTCTGTTGGTAAGATTTGGGGGTTGGAATCTCATGAAGTCCCAGGGGAGTCAGCATAGGTCTATGAGCAAGAGAAATGGCCCCGCCATGATTGGCACAGTGAGCAGGTATGGGTGGAAAGGTGAGGTGCTGGGCCCAGGTTCTGAAAGGCAGGTTGATCTACTGCAGATACTGAGTTACTAATGATTCAGTGCTCTGTTACAATATAATGCTATTTGAAATCTATAGTTATCTCTTCCTGATCACCTTTGTAGTTCGGAAAATACCCCATTAAAAATCCTTTTATATAGTCCTAGTAAGATTTGCATATAAGCATCAAAGTCTTGGGTACCAAGAACACATCTTAGGGGCCTGAAGAGATGGCTCAGTGGGCGAGAGCACTGGGTACTCTTCTGGAGGTCCTGGGTTCAATTTCCAGTACTCACATGGTAGCTCCCAACTGTCTATAACTGTAGCCCCATGGGATCTGATGCCTTCTTTTGGTGTACAAATGTACATATAGACAAAATAACCATATGAATACACATCTTAAATACAGATTCCCAACTAATGACAGAAAGGAGGTACAATGGAGAGTGACAGATCTGCCCTCAGCCTGGTCCCCAAGGTCTAGACTGCCATGCTCTTCATATCCACTCAACCCCCAGACTCTGCCTTCCCCATGGACAGGCAAACCTAAGCTCTCCCAAGGGCTCCCGACAGACAAAATGGGGTTTGGCTTCAGTGCAGGACGAGTCACATTCACCTGTCACTGAACATCTGTGTCACATCAGTCATGGTGCCTCATTGGCACACTGCTAGGACTACAGTTGGTTTTGAAGTCATTCACAAGGAAACCAGCCCTCCCATCCCAGCCAGAGCAAAAGCACTTTGCTCTGGTATGAGAAATCAGAGCCATCTGAAATGAGGAAAGGGCTGAGCAGGACAGTGGCCCTGCATGGTCTAGAGGAAGACGAGCTTTGACAACGCTGCCGCAGCAACAAAGGACTGCAGAGAAGTGAGCAGGAGAGATGGAGAGGTGTCTGAATGTGCCGCAGGAGTCAGTGGCCAGGCCGCCATCAGCAGTAGCTCAGGAGGCAGACACACAGTTACACTTCAAGGCAGCGTGGCACTGAGTAACTCTGGTGCGGGAGAGGCTCTGTTCCCTGTGGGACATTTTGTGCCCTTCCCCTGACTATAAATGCTGAAAGTGTCTCAAGACCACGAAATCATCCCAAAGGTGAAAAACCACCCTACCAAGGACCACCGAATTAGTAGTTGAGTTTTGAGCTCAAAGTCAATAGCAACATCACAGAGAGGACCATGACATGCAAATAGCCTCTCTCCAGCCTCAGGGCAATCACGACCTCATAGTCAGCTCCAGCCTGAACTGATCCAGACCATGGCCAAACCGGATGGACTACACATAGGAAAGAGCCCACATGAGGCAGCCTCAAAAGGCAGGCGGACCTGGTTCACTGCTCAGACTGCTGAAGACACACCCGGGTCCTTTTGCTGGCCTTGCTCTTCCAGACAGCCTGTGCGCAAGTTTCTGTCCCTTGGGCCATCCCGAATTAGACGTGGTTCTAGAGCTAGCCCTGCAAGCTCCCTGCCACCTGTGGCCTTGGCCAATCCTCCTCCTGGTTCACTCAACCATCTCTAGGCTCAGATCCTTGCAGAAGAGATCTGGCTTGGAGGTGGCTCTCAGCACTTGTGCTAGGCTCAGGAAAGAGGCTGATATCACCTGTCGCCTAGAGTTCTGAGGTATGGGGCCACTCCTCCACCCCAGCTCTCCTCTTATACATTTATTCTGGAACCCACTCCTCTCTCCCCCAGACCCACACACGGAAATCCAGGTCTTTATTCACTCTTTACACTGTCCTGTACTCAACTCCGTGCCTTCTCCCCCATTCAATCCTTGTCCTGCCTGTCTGGCCCTACATGTTCAGGGAATTCTTCTGTGGTTCTGCTTTGTAACTTACAGCAGCTTGGCAAAGAGGGCAGGCGGATGGGCAGAACTGAGTTCAGGAGGACAAACCAGACAGGCATCTGTGACAAGCCAGGGCAGAGTGTGGCTGACAGACAGCAGGATGCCAAGGAGAGCTCCTTCAGTGGCTAAGCGGTACCGTGAATGGGGATACCACGCAAGGGCGTCAGCAGGAGGAGAGTGGGGTACACAGGTGGGCAGGGCATCTCTGAGGGAGGCGGGTGCTCTCCCAACCCTCAGAGACACTGGCCCTGGCAGGAACCAGTTTGCATCTCTTGTCTGAGTCTCCAAACAGAAACATCTGGGCCCTAGCTCCAGGCCCGGTTATGAGCTCTTTCCTCTCCTCTCTGGCTTGGTGACAACTGTTTCATTTTTCTCTCACTCCAGTGAGGATGGAGGCCTGGGAGAGGTCAGTGTGTGCTGTTAGAAATGACCCCCAAAGAGTCTGGTTTGGCTGATGTAGTTTCAGAACAAGGGGGGGGGGGCAAGAGACGAACCCCGACATTCCTGATACAGCAAAGACAACAAGAGAGTCTGTGGGGCTGAGATGTGCATCACACCAAAGAGGAGGAACAGCACAGAGGCCTGGTGATGTTTCTAATTAGGGTGCTCTTCTCTGAAGGCAGAGCCCAGAGTCAGAGCTTGTGCAATGCCTCCGTGACAACAAAGCCAGGTGGCAGGAAATCACACTGCTCAGTGACCCACCACTGGGCTGGGACAGTGAGAGTCTAAGCCTCTGTGGATTTGAAGTGACTGGGAAATCTATACCTCCCCATCTATAAAGGAGAGGGCTAGATTGAGGGCTGTCTCCTGTGGACTAAGCCCATCACCAGATGGCCAGATGCGTGGTAGGTATATCCTATAGGGTGGGTCATGCTTCCTGCGGGGCAGCAAGACTAGGCTTAAGGAGAAGGGATCATCTTCCCCTGGGTTTGATCAGGGTGGATTCTGAACTTAGCTTCCATTTGATTGAACTCCCTGAGCATGGGAACAAGTCTTATCCTGCTAAAGAATCGAGACCAGGGCTTCCACGGGAGCTGGCATGACGAGAAGGAAACTGCACCTCCCCACTAGGTGCTCCAGCTGCCACTCTTCTCATGCATGGACAGGATGATTTTGAACACTTGGCTGCATCTCACCAGGCATTTGAAATCTGACTCTGGTTTTGGCAGTGGCCCTAGAATGGGCTACGGCACCACGTGTAGCCTAAGGCAGGTCTACAGGCAGCAGGATTTGCCCCCTCACCCCAACCCCATAGCCAAGACCATGCCAGCAGGTCCTCACAGTGACCTCAGAGGCCACTTTCCCAAGTTCTTCCTTTGAGCTGCTTGAGAATCTGCAGCAAGAACAAAACACAAAGTCTTTGTGTAATTCAATCCCTTGGACTAAGATTCCTGGCCTGCTGTTTCCCATTACAGCGGCATGTTATCTGGTGAATCGAGGGGACAGGGACCGGACCATTCCACTCTTCACTCACCCACTCAGCCTTCTGGCAATAATTCTGGGAAAAACTCTGGGAAAGAGCTCCCATGGTAGCTGGCCAGGTAGACCCACCATGGTGAATGTAGTGAGAAAGTAGAGCAGGCAAAACCTGGTGTTAGGAGTGAGTTCCCTGACCTCCGGTTATCGTTCAGACTTGGAACCTCCCTTGGTAAGCAACATACAAAGGCAGATGGACACAGATGGGGCTGGGGAAAGCCCTTACCCATCATTAAACAGCACTTCTCAAAAGTAGTTCTAGGGCCACAGTTAAGAGTGCTTGCTGAGCAATAATGAGGACCAGAGTTCAAAACCCAGCACCAGGTAATAAGTCAGGTACCCCACATTTGTCTGTAGCTCCAGGCGCAATGGGAGTATTGCTAGGGCTTGCTGGCCTCTAGACTATCCAAAAAAACACGAGCTCCAAATTCAACAAAAGATCCTGCCTCAATGAAATTTGGCATGGGGGGCACTCCAACCCAGCTCTCCTCTTATGTATCTACTCTGGGACCCACTCCTCGTTCCCCCAGACCCACACATGGAAACCCAGGTCTTTTTCATTTTCTTAAATGGTCCTAGGGCTGTAGTACCAGTAGCAGCTAGGAACTGTATTGACTTCACATCCTCAGGCCTCCTTACCACAGAGGCCCAGGTTGGCCTGGAGAGTTCAGTTCTAACATATTCTTCAAGGAAGCTGATGTCTACAAGCCTAAGGACCTAAACTACAGGGCAAGACTCCCCAGTGAGTAATCCAGAATTCACATGGCTTCCTCTAGCCTTCCTTTAGCTGGATGGGGTCTGGGGCCCGGTGTCCCTAACTCTGTATGCTATAAAATGGTGATATTTCTCTCTGTGACAAATAATGGAAAGCACTTCTGAAGATGCCAGGGTTCTGTCTGACTACGCCCAGGACAGAACGCAGAATTGAGGGCAGGGAAAGCCAGGCTCCACCGGCCAATCAAGCTGCTCTCCAGCTCCCCTCATTAGGCATCATTGGGGAAGAATGGGTTAGGCGTGGGTCAGAGACAAAAGCACCAACAGAAGAGGTGCAAGCCCAACCTATATGATTCTGAACTGAGCTCCGTGGCAGCCATCTCAGTGCAAAAGGCTACCTCACGGTAGGCCAAAACCCTTAGCCATTCTCAAACAACTGCCCAACAGGCGGAGCTCAGGAAGCCCAGTCAAGGCTCGGGCTGCTTGGCCAATCAGGAACAATTTATTGTCAAAAGAGGGCAGTGAAGAGAGTAAGGGTTACTATTGGTGGGAAGGGTACGAAGAGAAGATATAAAGGAACATTCCAGTGGTCTGGCAGGGTCGAGGCTGTGCCTGGAGGGCAGTTGGGGCCCTTCTCTTTCAGAAAGGTCACCCTGTGGCCTCCTATACTAGCCTGTACGGAATGCCAAGGCCAGGGTCACCTCCTATCCCCTTCAAAGCCCTTCACTCATCACCTTGAATGAGTGGCCCTTTGTACTTGAAAGGACAGCGACCTGCATGTGCCCCTAATCCTCTGATGAAAACAGCCAGCCTATGACCCCACAGGAATGCTGTATCCCTGTGGGGGAGGGCAGGGAACTGGCACAATGCCCATGTGCCTGTAGCCCTCCCACTTCCTCTTCCTGATGCTTCCAGGGTGCCAAGGCAGTCCCTGCGATCTTCCTCATCCCTGCTCAAAGGCTTGCCTGCAAGGGGCAGCGCGCATGGACTCCAGGTATGCAGTGTGTATCTCAGGTGGTCAGAATGTCAGGACCAGGCAGTGACTCTGGCCCCAGGCACTTCCAAGTCAGGGAAAGAGAATCCTCTTGAGACAGAGCCTGTCATGAGTGCCAAGGATGGCGACGGTGAAAGCTAATGCTAGAAAGCTATCCATGTGGGCTCCAAGCTGCCATTGTCCCCACTTCACAGACGACAGAAGTCCAGTGTATCACAGCCAGCCTGCAGCCTGGCTCCAGAACTCATGCTCAGAACCACAATGACCGGCACTACATCCCTTGAAAAGCAACCAGAACCCTGTCGTCTCCCTCCCAAGATGCTCCTCACTGCTTCCCTACTACACGCCAAGGTCTCCCAGTCATGACTACAGAGTCTGAGAAGAGCTGGCTAAGTGAGCCAGAGGGTTTACCAACAGCAGCCCACAGCCTCTGCAGAGCACAGCCCTAGCTTGGGCACAACAAAATGCTTAGGAAGAAAGGAATGATCTTTCCCAAAGCTAGCCTGGGTGGCAACCTTCCCTGAATGCAGAGTCTGGATGAGGTGCCAAGGACCTACCCAGTGCCTTGGAGACAGAACAACTCTTTCAGTGTTCAGACTGGCTATATCACACTGATGGATAGGTACTGCTGTTGCTGGCAGTCACCCCCCACCACCACATCTGGCCATCCCATCCCCTCCCTCCACACCTGGCCATCCATGCCCTCTTCCCTTTTTATTCTATTTTCCAGCTCCTGCAAAGTAAGCAAACTAACCCTTGGCCCATGGAGACACCTGCCTAAGTATAAGCCCCCTACCCAGTGTCTTATCAGCTGTTTGTCTTTGTGTCCACAGGCCTAATGTCTCCAACCAATTCACACATTAGAGGTAGCCCCACTCACTTGGTTCTGATACAGAGCTCAAGGGGAGGGACAAGGTCGCCGCAGCTGTCCTCTGGGGTGGTCTTGGTGGTATCTAGGGAGGAGGGAGAAAAAAAGCACACATCTCATTTCAGGTTATGCACTCACCCTGAGGCTAGTACAGGCAACTCCAGGGGGACCACTCAACCCTTTGAGTATCAAGCACTCATTTCCATCTTAACTGGATCCACACTGGCCTCACACCTACAGCCTCCACCAAACCCATGGCCTCCTTTAGTTACCACAATATTTTTTTTCCTGAAAACACATGTGGTCTCATTATTCCTCTGCTCTAAAACCTTCCATGACATCCTACTTCCTTAAAAGCAAATCCAAGCCTACCAGGAAAGCTCACAGGACACCTGCGTATGGTCTTAACTTCACCTTCCCCCTTTCCTTGAGTGCTCAAGGTCCATCCACGGCCCTCTTTTGCAGGATGGCCAGACTAGCATCACTCTCTGGCCCCCATGAGTATCCCAAGAAGGCATGCGAAGGCTGGTTCTGGAGCACCTGGAGGCTCCCTGAAAAGACAGGTTAGGGTGTCTCACCAACAGTCAGCCGAATCTCCTCCTGCTGGTTGGCCAAGCCATCGTAGTAATACAGGTCAAAGAGTCGCTCCGTCCTCCAGTCAGACAAGAGCTCTGACTGGAGGCTGAAGAGGATGCTAAAGTGGCTCTCGCTGCACACCACCCAGATGGGGAACCTGGGAGTCTTCAGGAAGCAGCCGACCTGGAAGAGGGCAAGACCTGAAGCAATGTGCTGACCACCCGAGTTGAGCTGACTTCTGAGAGATGCTTGGTGTGATGCTAGTAACCTCTCCTGCTGCCCAGACCCACCTTCTAGAGGTGGCCACCTCACAAGATTCTCAGGGAATTCACACATAGCATTGCTTCCAGGTGGCATCCATGCCACAGCACACAGTCCTCTAGCCCTCTCTTCTCCTCCCGTCTCTCCCACACGTCACTCATGTGTGCTTCAGCCATGGCCTCCTAACTGATTCTTGCTCTACTCATCAGAGTTACTAAGCTCGCAAATTCCTGGGCCTTCCCATTCTTTGTCCTCCCTTGGGAGAACTGTATCACCCCAACTACTCAGTCAGTGAGCAGGCATCCCTACCTCCTTCTGGTTCTCAGGGACATGTCACTGAGCAATTGCTCCTCAATCACAGCACCTTTTGCCTTGTGACACCAACACATGCGTCCTACCAAGAGCCTGCCCAATGTGTGAGCAAATAGTTGAAAAAATGAAGGCCCTCAGGACTAACACTGGGCTACAACTAGAATTGTGCATTGAAGACAGATAGGATTGAGGCCTCTGGGGAGCCAGGAGGGAAGGGTATGGGTGAGCAGTCTATGGTGTCAGGGTGAACATCTGAGAAATTCAGGGTGCAGTGGGCTGTTTGGTGAGGAAGCCCGGAGGATGAGGCCAGGGCAGCAAAATCTCTATGCAAGTCCCCAGCCAGAGACTCTCATGGCTGGCTAAGGATGCATGGGAACAAACCAGAGACCCCAGCACATTGGCACACCGCTTCCTGCAGAGATATCCTATTTATGACCCCTTAGGTAGGCCAGCCGCTACACACTCTTTATGAGTGCCCCAGGTGGCACCTGCCAGTGCTAGTTTATTCAGCTATGCCCAGCTGGTCCCACCTAATCCGCAGCCTCCCCCGGGAGAGGCTGCTACTCAGGTGTTTACAGCCTCTGTTGTGGATTAAGGAAAGAATGGGAGCTATTTTTCCAATGAGGAGAAGGGCATGCTTGCTCTAGGGCCCACCACAGAATAGTGAGGCAGCTCCCACCTCAGGGGTAATGCTGGAGGTACCTGGGACAGAGAGGTATTCTTGGCATGTCCTCCATGAAGGACTCGCCTATTAAAGTTGAGAGCAGGGGACCATGTTGACCAAGTGCTCAGCCCTGTGTGACATTGAAGCTAACTCTCTCTGCTCAGCTGTATGTGTCACCCAAATGGACTGCAAGCTTTCTCCTTCCGCCTCCTGCCTGACCCTACAATAAGCTTAGCTTCTTTCTGTGCTCTAAAGAGGTTTTTCTTGAGAAGCACGGCCTGGGACTGTACTCACTCACAACAGGCAAGGAAGGAGCCTCAAGCCAGCCACGGGAAGGCCTGGGCGCCATCAGCTCCTGAATTTTCCAAACGAGGAACAGAGGGCAACTTGCCATTTATAAACAACAGTCAAAAGATTAAGAGCAAAACACTGCCCAGAGGCCTTAGAAATGAGTGGACTCATTCACAAGCCTTTTCCACTAGGAGATATTTTCCAGAGAAACTTCCTTAGGGGTCTTGGGCAACTGGGCGTGCCATTCCCTTAGTGCAGGCCAGGCTCTCTCCTGGGGGCCACACTGCACTATCACAAGATGCTTTTGTTTATCTTTATTGTTCTGAACTTTTAAACTTATTTTTAGTGTTGAGGAATAAACTCGGGCTACTGTGGTGAACCTGTGCCCTGCCACCGAGCCATACTCCTAGTTCCTGAGATTTTATGTTAAAGCCATTCAAGTTTTTCCCCATCAGTGAGGAATCAATCTACACTATGAGTTTTGACAAGCACTGTCTAAGTCAGTAAGAGTGGCCTGATACTGAGCATGAAAGGGCAGCTTTTGAGTTACAAATGTGCTATAGGATGTACTACTCTCAGGAGGACAGCTTCCAGAGTCAGCATTTGGAGGTCAAGGATCGTGTCTTTTCATTTCTATAGCATGCCAAGTTTCCCTCCACCAGCTTTCATGCCTCCTTGTGGATCTGATTAACAAACAAGGAAGCTGATGATGCATGCCTTGACTGCTAGTGTGACGTGAGCAATTTTTCATGTACTTATTTGCCAAATGACTGGTAGATGTCTAGATTTTTATCCAACAACCAATTGCTACAATAATCTTTGGGTTTTTGATGTTTTTATTTTATGGGTTTATTTTTAGTTTTGGGGTTTTTTTCGAGGGGGAGTTGCTTATATGGTAGTATTGTTGTGAGACAGGGTCTCTATATGTAGCCCAGGCTAGCCTTAATTTCTAGATCCTCCTGAGTGCTGGAATTACAGGCACATATTACAAGCCTAGGTCTCCTGTAACATTTTATATTAAGTGAACTAACCTTTCTCCATTAATTTGAAATCTAGAGCGTGTGTGTGTGTGTGTGTGTGTGTGTGTGTGTGTGTGTGTGCGCGCGCACACACACACACGCACATGCGCGCACGCATATGTGTGATTCTATTTATGGCAATTTTTTAAATTGATCCATTTGTCTATTCCTATGCATTATGTTTTCATCACTATAGTCTTCACTGTATGTATCGGGGACTGCAAATTCCATTATATATGTCAAAACTGTCTGGCTCTTCCTAAGCACTTTCTCTTTCTTAGATAAACTGTTAGGAAAATAAAACAACCCTTTGGGCCAAGTGGTGGTGGTACACACCTTTAATCTCAGCACTCAGGAGGCAGAGTCAGGCAGGCAGATGTCTGTGAGTTCGTGGTCAGCCTGGTCTACACAGTGAGTTCCAGGACAGCCAGATACACGGAGAAACTCTGTCTCAAAATAAAAAACAAACAAAAAAACTGTTGGGATTTTTTTCCCCTTGAAGTGCTGGGGTTTTAATTTAGTACAGTGGTTTCCAACCTTCCTAATGCTACAACGTTTTAATACAGTTCCTCATTTTGTGGTGACCCCCCAACCATAAAATTATTTTCCTTGTACTTCATAACTGTAATTTTGCTACTGTTACGAATTTTAATATAAGTATGTGATACACTGAATATCTGTTATGCGACCCCCAAAGAGGTCATGGGTTGAAAACCACTGATCTAGTATCTTGATCATGTTAGGCAATACTCAGTCTTCTTTGTAAACTTTCAAAAGATGACTTATGATTTCAGTTGACTTACATTTATTTCTGAATAGGTCACTGCATACACATATCAAGTTTTAGGGGTGTTTTAAATTTTTCTTAAGCATTAAGTCATTTTGTACATGTGTGTGAGGACATATAGGTAAAGGTCAGACAACAACTTAGGGAACTCATTACTTTCCTCCCATCACGTGGGTTCTGGGGTTTGAACACAGGTCATCAGGCCTGGCGGCAATCGCTTTTACCTGCTGAGCCTTCTTGCTGCTTCTCAGGGGGGTGTTTTTAAAATCTGAATCTTAGTCTCTTGCACAAGTAGTGAATGGCCCAAGCCAGTATGGACTGCCATATTCAAGCACTTGTTCTCAAGGATCAGCACTTGACCACAAGCAGAAGTACCTGCCTGTCTATAATGGTGACACTCATTTGATGTGATTATACTTTATCCTCAGCAGCTCAACAGATGACAGGGACACAGTGCTGAAGAAAAAGACATCATTCAAGACAGCAGAGAGTAACCAGTCAAACAAGTCTAAATGTGCTGCCTGTCACCACCATTTCACATCACCAAGAACAGGCCAAGTGACCAAGTCTAACTAGCACAGCGCACTGTCTTCTCAGAAGCACTGAAATGTGAGGAAAATTCTATCCTAAGGCAATAAAATATGATGCTCAAATCAAGGGAAGGTCCACGAAGGAATCAGGTGCTTGGATGGAGGATGACAAGGTGAGGAGCAGAGCTCTCTGGCTAGACAGATAACAGAGCTGACATAGACTTCCCTTTCAGGAAGTAACATTAAGCCAAACCCTGAGGAGCGGGGGAGGCAGGGCAGCTGGAGGGGACAGCATACGCAAAGGCCAGAGGAAGGGGTATCCAAGCAGAGGCAAGTGTACCTAAGGTCCAGCACCAGCAGGGCAGCATGTGAAGAGGGTTATGGCCCAGCTCTGAGAGGTCACATAGCAAGTTTGCAATTTTAGCCTATGCATTAATTACCTGTGCCCAGGCCACCACAGCAAACACTGTGTGGCTTAAACAACATAAACTGAAGTTGAGGTGTTGTCTGAACTGTTTGCTGGAGTATGTCTCTGTCTCTGGCTAACTGGTCCCTCTGTGTCTCACAAGGTCTCCCTCTGTGTGTGTCTACGTCCTAATCTCTTCTTATGATGACACTGTTGTTTGGATTAGGGCCATCCTAGTGACCTCATTTTAACTTAATCACCTTCTTAAATACCATCACCAGATACAGTTCCGCTGAGGGGTACTGAGGGTCAGGGGTTCACATAGGAATTTTAGTAAACACAATGTAACTCATGATAGTCCTGGAAAATGAATGGTCCTGGAGGGTTTTGAACACAGACTGGTATGACTGGATCTATGTTTTTAAAGATTACACTGCCTTAGTAGAGGGAGTGTATGGGAAATGAGGGTCTCAGGATCAATGTTGTTCAAATACTGGGTCTTCCTCGTGGTTGTGTTAATGCTATCCAATAAAGGGGCTGGCTAGGCCAAGAAGTTGTCTCTGTCTAGACCTGGGCTTGAGTTTTCAGCTTCCTTGGGGCTCCTCTGTCCCATGAGACCGAAGGAGGGCCCTGGTGACACAGGGACAGAAGGGAAGACAGGTGATATGAAGAAGGTGAAGGCTGCCAGGCCCAGCCTGGTCTTTAGGGGAAGGAGAGGCCAACACCCATCCTTGATGACTTCTTGGGAGAAAGAGAAGGTGGGCTTGCTGTGCTACAACACAGGGAAGTATCCACCCCCCACAGGGGACAATATTCCCCAGCTTGGCCAGCAAAGGGGTCATGTGGGTCCAAGGAATCTATGAGAAAACAGCCATTGGTCCCAACTTTCTTCAACAGTAATTACATTCTGAGTGAAGGGTGGTCTTGACTGTTTTTCCCATCATTTACCCTCTACTGACCAAATCAAAATAGTTCACTTTTCCCAGGCAGTCTGGACTGTTGGAAGACATCAGGGATCATGGTTAGCCTGCAGTCTATGAAACTGGCCACACTTACCCTGTTCAAGCAATGGGCTGTCAGGCTAGAGACCAGTAGAGCCTCCAGGCTCTCGGTGCTTCTCCTTGGCCAGAGGGTCAGACTGCTGCCTTACTCCTGACAGCAACAACCAGAAAGGAACTGTCCCCTTTCCTCTCCAGGCAGTAGAACCCACACATCTGTATTACGTGAATGTTGGGTATCACTCAAATTAGGGGGTCAGGAAGAGGTCCATCACATGGATCATGAACAAGAGACAGGATACCTAAATAAGAAGTCATCCAGAAAGGATGGGACAAAAATCCCATCTCCCTCCCATTCTGCTAAGTCATTTACCTAGCATGGGGGCCTCTTGCTTTCCGTTTGTGACAGTGACGCAATCTCAACTAGGTCCTCTTAGCATCTGAGTAGTCTGAGCCCCGTGTAAGTCTCCTGTTGACCTTCGGGACAGTGCTCTCCACAGCCACAGAACTATGCACCATATGAAGTCACTAAGAGTGTGGCTCTGAGCAGGTCTGACAGCAGCTGAGGCAGCAGGTCTGATCAAAAGCACCCTTGACCAACCCATGGTGCCATCACTAGTGCCCCACCAGCTTCACTTAAAGCCCAGGCCTTTGCAAGCTTTCTTTCCCAGCAGGAGAGGAGGCAGAGGGACCACACTCCATCAAACAGACCAAATGAAGCTGTGTGGGCTGAACACTGTCTCTCAAAGGACATGTAAGCCCAAGAGCCTCTGAATCGAACCTTCTCTGGAACTGGGGCTGGCTGCACCTGCCATTGGTTAAGATGAGGTCATACCAGTGCCCTGAAGCCAACTGAGGTCCTCAGAAACAAAGACACAGGGAGCAATCAGCTAAGTGATGACAGAGGCAGGGCCTGGAGTACTGCATCTATAAGCCAAGGAGACCAAGGATTGCTGGGATAGACCACCCGTCAGGGGAGGCTCCTGCAAGCTTCTCCCTGCTGCCTCCCGAGGAAGCCAACCAGCTCACACCTTGGTCTTGAACTACCAGGGTCTAGCGTTGTGAAAGAGGCACCTCTATTGTTTCAGCCACCCAGTCTATAGCATTTTGTTGCAGCAGCCCTAAGACAGTAATGCAAAGCCTAAGATGTCAAGCTCCTGGCTCCAGAGACCTCCCTCCCTCAACAAACCACATACATTCATGCATTATAAATTCAAACACACACACACACACACACACACACACACACACACGCCAGATGCAGCCACTCTGATGCACAGTCACAGCTATCCTTTCTGGACCCCATTATTTGCTGTTTGAGTCTGAAGTGTCTGTGGCATTGGCAGCAAAGTCATGTTTCTTCTAATCTGCTCTGTATTCAGGCTGGACCTGAACTCCAGCCAGATTTGGGAACTAGAAGCCAGCTTCCCTTCCTCCATGTCTTTCTGTCTCATGGGTCCAGGGAACTAGGCTTCCAGGGTTCCAGAGTACATGTGGGTACCTGACACACATTGTAGTGTTCAAAGAGAGATAAGAAACCGATGTTGCTGCGTGCCTCGATGCCTCGGAGGAGCGTGATGTTCCCATCGCCTGAGTCTAGTTCCACTACATCGTTGAAAACATTGGACACAGCTCTTCCGGTCAGGAGAAGATTGACAAGTTCCTGTTGATGAGAGAAGGGGAAGCTGCGTCAGACCGCTGAAATCAGCCTTGGGAGAGTGGAGGGGAGGCTGGGAACAGGGGAAAAAGGGTGGAGGAGGAAAGAAATCAAGAAACGGAATGCAGAGTTGAGACAGTAGGGGCTTGATTTTTCCACAGGCTCTGAGGGGGGAATCTTCCAACGGCTCCCATCAAAGCACCCTGAGGGACTCAGCCATCTAAGTCAAGCATTTCTTGAGCGAAGACTACACAAGAGCCTGTCCTAAGTCTCAGTATGGGGGTACATTTGAGTGGTTACAACACAGCTCCATGCTCTGGGCCAGCTTGGGGGGGCGTCAAGGATGTGTCTGTATGGCTGAAACCTAATGGAGGATATGCGTGGGACTATAAAAACGTGTGCACAGAGTCTTGCCTGCCCCACATAGAGACGAGTCACAAAACCAGGCGAGAACAGCTTTGTTGGAGAGTGACCCCTGGGAGAGTCTTCAAAGACAATGTTTTTTAAAAATAATCATTTTAATGTTTGAAATGACTTTAGATTCAATAGAAGTTGCAAAAATAGTCCAGAGAGTTCCTGTGTACCCTTTACCCAGCTTCCCCCAACGATAACATCTCATAGGCCCCAGCACATCTCACAGCCAGGAAGTCCGCCAACCCTGCACATTGCAGCACCAAGCAGGTGCCCCCGGTCTTGCAAGGGTCTCACCGGGATGGTAAGAAAAGCAGAAGAGGGGCAAGAGCAGAGTCAGGGAGGGCAGCAAAAGGCAGTGTTGAGCTTGCCTCAGATACTAGGTATCCAGCAGCCCTGTGACTCATGCCACAACCCAAGCAGACACCAGATGTGCAGCCTCAGACCTGGGGCTGGTGTCAAGTGCAGTGTGACATCTCTGGGAGTCTCCATCTCTGGCACTGCAGTGCATCACTAAGGTTGGATCCCCCATGTCCCACCACTGATTAGGAATAAAGAAACCGAACCTGGCAGATGAGAAAGGACTTGTCCTAGCCACATATCCAGAAAGTGACTGAGCTAAACTTTCACCCACATCTGCTGAGTACAACACCTCTGTCACCCTTGCTACCCTGACAGCAACTCTATCTCCACACTCCAGTCGAAAGGTGGTAGCTTCCAAGGACGCTTGGAAGAACTCTGATGAATCTACCCCTAGCATTCAGACAAGCATTCATCTGTGTTACCCTCCCCCCAGCAGGGCTGGCATTGCCAGTGAGACAAGCAAGCACCAAGCTGTCTCCTAGTTCACTGAAATGGCAGTGCCACCCCTACCCCTATGCTCTGCAGGGGAGTTCACAGCAGTGTTTTTCCTTGAATTGTGAAATTAATGTTCCGGCTACATAAACCTTCCATTGATGCTAACACCCCTGCCCCAGTGACAGTTAGGCCTCTATTGATAGCCACCAAGGGGCCCCCACTGGAAGGAGACAGTGAAGGGTCTCATTGTGTCCCAGCAGGGGAAGTGATAAAAGAATTCAGAGGAAATAACTACTCTGGGATACTGTACCTCATGTCCAGAATCTACCAAGAAAGGGATAGTCTTATTTTTTCTTTAAGGTGGAAAGCTTTTCCATCTGGTTTGCAATAAGATTAAAGGCCCCCGTTCTTACATCTGGGAGGTGTTCAAACATCCCCCCCAGCAGGAAGTGTTCTTGAGATAGGAGGAGTACCACACATATCTCCTGCCCTTGGTTTAAAAACCCTGCAGTACCAAAGATCAGCCTCCACCCAATCCATTGCTATTTCAAGTGTTGCCACGGACTGTCTCCTCCTGGAGGAGCATTTAGAAACCCACCCTCCATGGGCTTGGGTGTGGTGGTGCACAGCTGCAATCTCAGCACTAAGGACACTGAGACGGGAGGATCTGGAATCCTAAGTCGGCCTGGGCTATATAGCAAGACACAGTCTCAGAAGAAAAAAAGAAAAGAATATGACGAAGAAATTCCCTAGCCCCAGCCCAGCCTGAGTCAGAGCCTGCTTTCCAACATGACCCATAGGGACTGGTGTGCAAATCAAAACTAAGCAGCCATGAACTGAGCCAAATGCCTCTTCCACAAGGGAGGGAACTGGAACTGGGGGAGGGGGAAGATGTCTCAGCTCCTTCTCAAGTGTAGCAGAGGAAAGGCTTGATCCCCAGCCTATGGTGATGTTGGTGCAGCCTCCTTTGTCCCCAGTTTGATTCCTGCCCCCTGCCGAGGCAGCTCCATTCTCCACCCTCCACAAGAGGAGGCTCCCTTGGAGGAAAAAAAAAGGTATCTAAAGGGAGATCAAGCCACCAGGCACCCAGAAGAGAGGACATTCTCCATGACCTTCTTCCAGGGAGGGGCAGAAGCCAGCCCCACACCCTTGTGGGTGTCTGTTACACCACAGAGCTTGAACTTGCACGTGCATGGGACCAAGGTAGCTTTCCAGGGTCAGGTACAGGTGAGTCAAAATCCCAGAACAACTAGTTAGTCCCAGCACATCAGAAGATTGTGAGTTCTGGATTCTGCATACAGAGAGGGCGACACTTAACATAATCCACACGGCCTTTCTCAGAGGCCATGGCACACTGAGAAAGGTGTGCATGGAAGCCTGATGCACAGAAGAGAGGGCCTCGAACAGGTGTCTTCGGTGGCATTAGCTGACGGGGAATACAAATGGCAAAAGAGGTCAGGGTCTCTCCTGTCCCGAACAGGGCGTTTGTTGTACAGATGCAGAAGGAAGGATAGTTGCGAAGGCAAGGTCCTCCGCAAGTGTAACCGGCACATGCTGCTGCTGCCCAGGGCTACCGGCCATGCGGGGCATGTGCCCACAGCCTGGGCTGTGTGCAGTTCAGCACTCAAGTGGATCTACGTTCCTCCTCTTCTGCATCCCCATGGCTGCAACAACACCAGTCAGCAGGTAGAAAACCAACTGAGCTTTCCTCCCAGGTCGCCAAGACAGTGAGGCCGGAAGAGGCGGGCTCATGACAGCTGCATGTAGGGCGTTTGATCAGATGAAGAAAGAAAGAAAGCAGGAAGGGCTACCTGACTTCCCCTCTGTGGGCCCCGCTGCCTCCTGACCTGTGTGCAGTATCCGTGCGCTCCAATCAGATGGCTGGTGGGGACATCGAAGTCCTGGCGGACACTAGGAAGCACGAAAGGGAAAGGCATTAGCAGTTGCTCACAAGCCTGGGCTAGGGATTCGATTTGCTACGAACCTAAGCATTCCACACAGGGACTCTGTGGCGGTGCCACCACAAAATGGCCTCCATTTTGGCCGCACCAAAATCTGGTGAGTGAAATGTAACAGGTCGTTGCCCTGGGAATCCAATGTCTAAAACTCATACCACAATGACCACTCCTAATGGTGAGGATGGCGTGTCTGCCCACAGCTCTGGGCCTCAGGCAGCCAGTCAGTCAACAGGAGGGACTGACTAGAATGGACTCTCATGACTCTGCTCTGGTTTCAATAGGGCTTGAGTATGCCTCTCAAGGGATCATGTGTTAAAATATAAATGCCACAGTGAGGCAGCAAGAAGGGTAAGAAGTTGTGTGCACGCATGTGTTTCTGGAGACCACAGGCTGACGTCAGATAACCTCCTCCATAACCTTCCACTTGTTGTTTCCAGATTTCCTATTTTGTGTGTGTATGTGTGCAGGTGTGTATACACACACACATATACATATATGCACACGTGTGCACCGGCCATAGCAAATCAGAGGACTACTTTCAACAAGAGCTGGTTCTTTCCTTCTTCCATGTGGGTCCCAGGGATTGAACTCAGTTCACTAGGCTTGGTGGCAAGCACTCTTTCCCACTGAGCCATCTTGACAGCCTCTACCTTACCTTTTTAAACATTTCCTTTGAGAATTTCACATACTTACACAATGAAATACGATACCTAACCCCCTTTAACCCCAACTCCTCCCAGATCCCCAATCACACTCTTGCCAACTTCATGTCTTTTTTCTTTAATTGATTATGTGGCTTAGAACCATTTGGCCAGCACACAGGAAGGCAATAGCCATGACCACTGACCACAAAAGGATAGGAGGACTTCCTATTTTTATAGATGTGGAAAGATGCTCAGGCAGGTGGGCACTGAGACAGGTGGTGTGAGAACCTGGTTCCTAGGCCACTACAGCTACACAGGTACGTGAATGCACACTGGCCCACCTGCACCATGTCCAAGACCTGGTGTGCTTCCTACGTTCATCACCCAGAAACAGCACTGCGATGGGGCCGAGGGTAGGAAGGGTTCTGTGACAGAACATTTGTTTTTCCTTTTAGCGGAAGAGGAGAACTTGGTCTCAACAGATGCTTTAAGTTCAAGATACCCACACATTCAAAACTCAAAACACACGCTCCAGTCCTCTGTTCCTCCAAGATAACCTCAGAAACTCAAACCCCATCATCCTTGCCAGGAAACTCGTGTGTGTGTTTGTGTTTGTGTGTGTGTGTATGTGTGTGTGTGTGTGTGTGTGTGTGTGTGTGTGTGTGTGTGTGTGTTTTAACTGAGGGTGAACTGGGGAAGTGGTGCTCAGGAGATGAGCCTCAGGTAGCATCACAGAGACATATAAACAACCACAAAGACCCAGGGTCTTCTGGGAAGGTCCAAGCCCACCAGAAGCCAACCAGTGTGCCTGGGAGACAGCCAGCAAGGGGTGACTCATGGCCAGCACAGCGCTGGGCTGGCGCTAGCTGAGGCAGAAGAATTGATGGAAACGTTCTCTGTGGCATATACAACATCTTCTGATGAGAAGAAAATAACCTCAAAGCAGTCCTGGGGGGACTGATAAGCATCGCTGGCTGCTGGCCACCTGTGGCTTTCAGAAGCAGTCCGATTTTCATAAGCTCTGGGCCGCGTGCTCACCCAGCGGGCTAGAAAGCCTGCGTCAGCTGGGAGAAGAGGGACTAGCAGAACGGACAATGGGAGGAAATGGTAATTGCATCCTTAGGTGCAAACACGATGGGAAATTCAGAAGTTGCTTGGATCTTAAAAGGGAGGGACATGTGTATTTCACATTAGGGCACTCGGGAGACGCCAAGGAGCAGCTTATGGCTTAAGAGATTTACAACTTTGGCAAATAGCAATGCCCAGTCCTCCCCTGGGGAGTTCTGACGGGGCGTACGTGTGAGGAGTCCTAGGCCAGAGGCCATCCTCTGCTTTGGCTATACAAGAGATCAGCTTACATAGAAGCCTGACCCAGCCCCAAGTTCCAGCTCCAGCCCACTGTGCAACTGTAAGCCTTTTTTTCTTCCCTGGGCCTCAGTCTCCCATTCTGGAGCAAAATGCTCTTGATCAGAATTATGTCTCTCCAAATCCATATATTGAATCCAGCCTGAAGAAGCAAACTTGCCTGTAATCTTAGGAGGCTGAGGTAGAAGGATTGAAAATCCAACCAAGCCTGGCATGGGGGCGCATGCCTTTAACCCAAGCACTTGCAGAGGCAGGTGGATCTCTGAGTTCAAGGCCAGCCTGGCCTACAAAACAAGTTCTAGGACAGCCAGGGATACACAGAGAAGTCCTGTCTAAAAAAAATGGAGGAGGAGGAGGAGGAGGAGGAGGAAGAAGGAAGAGGAGGGTGTCCAAGTTCAGTCAGGGATAGAACAAGAATATTTCCAATTTTAAAATGGAAAAAGGATTCACCCAGCAAATTGTGTGACTGTCAGTTCAATCCTCAGTACTGTGTGTATGTGTGTGTGTGTATGTGTGTGTGTGTGTGTACACCTGCACACATATACTCTGAAGTCCCAACCAATCCTAAGGCCCTCAGAATATGCACTTAGGGAGAATGAGGGTCTTTAAATGTGTGCTTATATTAAAATGAAGTCAGCAGGATGGGTCCCGATCCAAACCAGCCTGCAGAGTTGTAACAATAAGGTTCTGTGTCCAAGGTTCCTGGCCTTGTTAGCACCAGCCTAGGACCCTAAAGCAAATGACATCCAATGTCACTGTAGACTCAAAGCTCCTTCCATGAAATCTGTACAGAAGCCCACTTTACAGAAACTACAGACAGAGAGCTTCTATGGTGAAGGCAAAGATGGGCTTGCTCCATAATTCTCACTAGGACGCCAAACCATAACAGTTAAGAGGCCAGGGTCCACCTGAGGATGCCACAGAAGCTGTCCTGGGCTTCAGTCCCTCCAGCAAACTATGTTTTCCTGTATTGCAAAGCCAATAAGCATAGAGTGGGAAAGCCTGAATGAACTCTACCATGGAAGGAGGGACTCAGTACCAGATGCCCTGCTCCCAACTCCTCAGCATCTGGGAATAACAGGCCAGGATCCCAGAGACCTCACCTGTGGGTATCTGGGTTACCTAGTGACAAGAGTCAACAGAAAGCTCTTCTTGGGAGGACAGCAAGGACCAAGCCCCTCAAACCTTCTCACCATCTGGAGGTCCCTGAGTCATCATGCTATGCCATAGAATAAAACAAGAAAACCTCAGGGCTGGGAGAGCCTTCCAGGACTCAATGTCAGGTGGACAGAAAATGCAGGCTCTGGAAGAGGCCTGGTTCAAGCTAGTGACCATCCAAGATTCAAGGCCTGAAGCCGGTTTTAGACCTCTGTCCTTTGTCACAAGTCCCAAAACAGCTGCTTCTGCCATGGAGCAAGCTGACAACACAGGAGCTTCACATCTGCAGTTTCCGGTCCTCTCAAATGCATTCTTCTCTCAAAGCTCAGGAGGGCAGGAACCTCGTCTCTCACTAGGTAACCTGAGGTCCCAGGAGGAGACTGGACTTAGTACTTGTGTGACACATCACAAGTAGGGCCAGTGGCCTACATGGCCTGAAGTACAGTCAGATATTAGCCTGATCAGCCAGCTCCAGGCAGGCCAAAGCCCTGGAGCCCCACCCAGGTTCCACCAACCCTGACTCCCGCTAACTTGTCCCTTCACCCAAAAGTCTCCCATGTGAACAAGGCATTTGGCACAGAAACTTCTGAATAGAAGGAAAAATAATAGGCTCCTGTAGTCTAGAGACATGGCCCCATCTACAGTCACAACCATTTACCTGAACAGAGCAGGTTTGAGGCCAGCTCAGACTGGGTCTAACCAAGTGAACAACCCCTCTTCCTGAGTCCATACTGATAAAACAGGAGTCCGGCTGGGGACAGGTAGTATATTCTCTGGGAACTTCTGGATGGGAACGAGGGTGGTTGGTCCCTGACTCTGGTCTTTGTGTGGAAAGCAATCAGTCATTTCTTTTCCACCTGACCACTAGTACTTGGGCTCTGCAGAGCCAGGTCCCCTGGGTGAGCTCCTGTGGTCCCTCCCAACAGCTGTATTCCTTCTATACCCCCAACCTACTTCACCGAGGTGAGTTTCTGCAGTGGGAAGGCAGCTGCGATGTAACAGGAACCTGGGCTCTAAGTTGGTGATGGCTGGGTTCAAGCCCAAGTGCTGCCATTTAAAACTTGCCCCTTCTTGGGAGTTGGTTTCCCCAAAGGCTGTATGAGCATGGTGATGTCTCCTTCTATTATGGGTTACTGTGAGAACAGAGTGAGATAAACTATATAAAGCCTCTGGCATGTGGTAAATGTCACTTCCTTTTTCCTACAATCACAACAATTAAAAACAGGAAAACAGTGACTGAGAGGTCATGATTCCTGCAACCTCAACCATTCATGTCACAGACAAGAGCCTATGGCAAACCCAGGCCTCTGAAAGGTTGAAATACAACCGAAGATATCTACAAAGGATTTGGGGAGATAGTTTTTCCAGGAAGGCCCAGAGAGAAGAGACAGTGGTCAGATACAGTCCTCTTCTTCCTCGTGTGCTATGTATGGTCCCCTAGGGTAACAATAGCTACCCCACAGGGTTGTTATAGGGAGGAATCAGGCCATGGGTACGCTTTGCAATATTGAAAGAGAGCATCATGACAGGAGGTCTAGGCCCTTCCCATGCCCAGGCAGTGAGAAGAAGTACAGAATGCTTGGTATAAGGACAGCTCTGAAGAGTGGAGAAGGGCCAGCCTGAAGGAAGAAAGAAAAGCACAGGAACCCATGGCCTTCACTACTGCCCAGAGTACCCCCCACCAAGCTGCCTGTGGTTCATGACTCATGAACTCTCCATGGCTCTGGTGCCATTCCTTCCAGACAGATCCCAAGCAGCTGATTTTTCTATTTGACAAGAGCGAATT